TTTCGAATCAATTTTATATATATCTATATATATATATATATATATATACATATTATGTATATATATATATATATATATATATATATATATATATATATATATATATATATATATGAGAGTGACTCAGAAAGTAAGACAATTTGTTTTATTATATAAGAAATATGGAATACAGTCAAACATACCGTACATCAAGATATAGCTAGACATCACAGGTTCACATCCCGACTTTTCAACATAGTCACCACTTCTTTGAATGACAGTGTTCCTCCGACGAATGAAGGCATGTATCTCAGCTTCGTAAAAATCAGCTGGCTACTGATGTAGCCAATTACTTACAACGTTTGCCTCTCAGTGTCTCAGTGCGTACACCAAGGTATAGCTATACATCATAGGTTCACATCCCTTTTTTCTGAACAGTTGCTACCACGTTCAATGAGAGTGTTTCCCTCAGACGCCCATCGCTTTGATCCAACAAAAGGGATGTGAACCTACGATGTATAGCTATACCTTGGTGTACGATATGTTCGATTGTGTTCATTGTTTCTTCTATATAAAAAAAAGAAAAAAGTCTAGGTGTATTGGCAAATACTGGACTGGCGCTACAGATTCACTAACAAAGAACAGTACCAAAAAAAAAACAAAAACAATCATTGGTCCTGCCTTGATATCTCCGTTTCAGTCACGTAGCTCTAGGGTGGCGTGTAAAAAAAAACAAAGGGTTTGTAATAGTCATAACGTCTTCGTTTTCAGTCTTTTTTCTTTTCTTTTCTTTTTTTACGCAGATTATAGCGCATCTCTTGGAGATTAAAATGGCTACGTATAAAATCCGACAACGAATGAAATTCATTGATTTTTTTTTCTGTTCCAATAAAAGATCAATTATTCAAACTCAGAGAAAATACCGGCAACATTTTAATGTCAGAGTATCTCCTAGCGATAACATGATTCGGAACCCAATCGGCCGATTTGAAAGAACTGGATCAGTCGGTGATCTTTTGAGAAAAGGTCCTAAGCGTTCTGTGCGCACTAACACAGTGGTGGAAGCTGTATAGCAGAGCGTCCCTGAGGATCCATCAGCTTCTCCCCATCGCCGATCTACTCAACTAGGCATCACGAGAACATCTCTTCAGAAGATTCTGGAACCGGATTTTAAAATGCTTCCATACAAGATTCAAATGGTCTAAACTTTACTACCCTAAGATACTCATGTGTTTCTAAAAGTTATGTTTGTTTTATATCAATCAGTGGCCAAGCGAGAAGTGTTAGAGAATAAACTTTTAGAACTTATGGTTAGAACATATGGTTACCTCTATCAACGTAGACTGTACAATTATGAGACCTATCTGACAATCTAGTACTGCACTTTAATTCATAATGCCACGGTACCAAAAAGGGACTGTCATTAGAAATATTATCATGTTACAGAGCATCCCTTGCAGATTAAAATTGCTACGTATGATGTCCAGCAAAACTGATCGAGGTTTTCTATTCCAATGTCGAACCCAACCCTTTATTCCGCTCACTGGGGTAGATTGTTCTAGTTCCACGTCATATTGTGCTCATATTAGTGTCAGAGAAAAGCAATAATAACAAGGAAAAGTGCAATATGAGCTCTGTTAAAAAAAATGCAATGAATTACTTAGGATGAAGTGTTTGAAAATGTCATAACTTGTTTGTTTTTAATCTTTTTTTTTTTTTTGTTTTGCATGTTATAGCGCATCCCTTGGAGATTAAAATGGCTAGCAACGAGTAAAATTCAATGAGTTTTTCTATTCCAATGAAAGATGAATTATTCAAACTACCGGCAACACTTTAATGTCAGAGTATCTCCTAGCAATAACATGATTCGGAACCTAAGTGCCAGGTTTGAAAAAACTGGATCAGTCGTCGATCTTCCGGGAAGAGCTCCTAAGCGCAATATGCCCAATGACGCAACGGTGGGGGCTGTACAGCAGAGTGTCCTTGAGGATCTATCAGGTTCTACCCATTGTCGCTCTGGTCAACAAGGCATTACCAACGCTTCAGAAGATTCTGGAACTGGATTTAAAAATATTTCCGTACAAGATTCAAATGGTTTAAACTTTTACTACCCTAAGATACTAACGCGTTTGTAAAAGTTATTTTTGTTTTATATCATTCGATCTTTCGACACCCACCCTGTATTTTAACGGTAATTATTCTGATGAGCTTTGGTGGATCGACATAACGAATTTAAGCGCAGTACTAGATTGGCAGTTAGGTCTCATCTATTGAAATCCCTAGATGTAACTGTAAGTTCTGTTCTAATATTTTCTTCTCTCTGACTTTTCAATCTTGGAACTTCGTTCCGGCTCTTTCATTTCTTGTCATCTACGATCTTCAAAAATTTAAAAGCAGCACCAATCGTCATCTTCTGTCGATTTGATACCTGTTCTTTCTCCTCAAAAATGCTCTTTCAATTTGTGTTACTTTCATTAATCCTTGCGTCTTAGTGGCTTTAACGTCGGGGTGAAATACGAGT